AATAGGCTCCAGGGGGTGTTGGAAGGGGTAGTGTTTGAGTCGCAGAATGCATTTGTGAGAGGTCATGAGATTCTGGATGCTGTGCTTGTGGCTGATGAGTGTGTGGATTCATGGTTGAGACAAGATAAGGAGGGGGTTATCTGTAAGTTGGATGTTGAGAAGGCATATGACAATGTGAACTGGTAGTTTTTGCTCTATGTGCTTTAGCGGATGGGCTTTGGGGATAGATAAAGTGGGTTCACTTTTGCAACTCTATTGTGCGGATATCAGTTTTAGCAAATGGCACTTCAGCGGGTTTTTTTTCCTATATGGCGGGGTTTGCGTCACGGGGATCCTTTGTCCCTTTTGTTGTTTATTTTGGTGATAAAGGCGCTAGGTCATTTGTTGTCCAATGTGGTTCATAGGGGTTTGTTGTTTTGTTTTGAGGTGGGGATGGGCCAAAATGCAATGGGGATTAATCATTTTTTCCATGCAGATGATGCGCTTATTTTTTGTGATGTGGAGGTAATTCAATTAGGCCACCTGTGGTGTGTGTTGTTGTGTTTTGAGGCAGTATCAGGGTTATGGGTTAATTTGGCAAAGTCAGAGTTGATTCTCGTAGGTACAGTGGATCGTTTTTTGGTTTTGGCAGTAGTTTTGGGGTGTAAGGTGGCTAATCTTCTAGTTTCTGTTAGAATAACATATTATTAGTTGGGTTATTTTTTAGATTGTAATTATTCTATGCCTTGGGGCTTCCTTGTAATTATTAATCTTCATTAATATAAAAGGGGGATGATATCATAATCATTCCTTAATCTTTGGTATTCTCTAAATTATCATGGTATCAGAGCCAAAGCCTAAAACCTAAACCGATCTACCCATACAGTTCCTCTCACCCATCGGAGCCACCAGCCATCAGCTGGAGACATCCCACGCAGCCAACAACCACCCTTTAGCAGTCGACAGGTTCTCTCTTTGTCAGCTCAAGCCGACTCCATCCGGAGGAGTTTCGGCAAGGACCCAAGTTGTTTATAGGTGGGTTGATGTCTGTCTAGGGTTCGACACTCACCCAGGTTGATCAAAATCAGCACCGAAGATTTCTAGGGTTTGAATCTTACCTGGGCTGGTCGAAATCTTCACCGGAGGCCTTCTGGTCCCTCGTTGGTCTTTGCTGACAGGCCTCCTGGCCTCGGTGACCACTGGTGACAACTTCTGTCGCCTAGCTGACTGCCACGGATGGTCTCTCTACTTTAGCCAACAGACTTTGGTATCTCCTGTCATCTCTCTGTTTCTTCGTAGTGGCTGTTTGCCCACATTTTCTGTTTTTTAAAAACATTCTATGTTAAAAAAAAAAAGAAAAAGAAAAAAAAAACTCAAGTTATTAATTCTTTATGCTTTCATAGTGATAGTTGTGTCTTCTTTCCACCACCACCTTCTGGGTTTGTGATTGGCACTGGTTTTGTTGAGGGTTTGGTACTACAGTATCCATGGCAAATTCCACCAGTGTATTCACTACTTCTCAGACACCTTGGAGTGAGAGTTCCATTCTACCTACTACTATGACTGATAACCCCAACCCTAGTCTTAAAATCACCATCTCTCCATTTAATGGTCAGAACTATCTAGTGTGGTCGCAGAGTGTGACTATTTTTTTGAAGAGCAGAGGGAAGATGGGGTTGTTGATGGTAGGATACAGGCACCCAACACCACTGACCCAAGTTATGACCAATAAGAGATTACCAATTCTTTGATTATGGGTTGGCTTATGCATTCGATGGTACCAGATATTGGTGAGGGCTATATGTCTATGGAGACTGCCCAGGATATTTGGGATGCTGTGGCTTCCACTTATTCCCTCAAAGGGAATTTCTCACATGCATTTGAGTTGCGCCGCTCTATTAAGAGCTCTGTTCAGGAGGAGCAGACTATTCTTCAGTATTTCACCTTCCTCACTAATGGCTGGAAATGCCTTGATCATCTGCAGGACTATAAGCCTGTTTGCATTGCTGATTTAGTCGGGTACTTCTCTATCTGACAGCTAATCTAGATTGGCCACTTCATCAGTTTGATGTAAAGAATGCATTTCTCCATAGTGATCTAGAAGAAGAGGTATATATGGACATTTCTCTTGGTTTTGAGGATCATCAGGCAGAGGATAAAGTATGCCGGTTTCGGCAGTCATTATATGGTCTCAAACAGTCTCCAAGGATTTGGTTTGAGAGATTCACTCAGGCTATGCTTAAATATGGCTTCAAACAGAGTCAGGCCGATCACACCTTGTTTGTGAAACATTCATCACGTGGTAAGACTATAGCGTTCATTGTTTATGTGGATGACATAGTTCTTACAGGTGATGATAGTGAGGAAATCCCTTTGTTGAAGAAATATTTAGCAAGTGAATTTGAAATCAAAGACTTGGGGAGCTTGAAGTATTTTCTGGGAATTGAAGTTGCTCGCTCCAAGGATGGGATATTTATCTGACAGAGGAAATATGCGCTGGACCTGTTGAAGGAAATTGGGATGCTTGGCCGCAAAGCCCGTGACACCCCATTAGATCCCAATTAGAAACTGGGGGATGATGATGAAGGAGTTGCTGTTGATAGGGGGAGCTATCAGCGATTAGTGGGTAAGCTCATTTATCTATCTCACTTCCGTCCTGATATTGCTGTTGCTGTCAGTGTGGTTAGCCAGTTTATGCATGCTCCTCATCAGATTCACTTTGAGGCTGTCATAAGAATTTTGAGGGACTTGAAGTCTGTTCCTGGTAAGAGTCTTTATTTTTCAAAGCATGATCATTTTCGTGTGGAAGCCTATACAAATGCTGACTGGGCTGGATCAGTAACTGATAGGAGATCGACTTTAGGGTCTTGCACCTTTGTTGGAGGCAACCTAGTTATTTGGAGGAGTAAGAAACAGAATGTGGTTGCTAGGTCAAGTGCAGAAGCTGAGTTTGAAGCTCTGGCACAAGGGGTGTGTGAGCTCTTATGGATTAAGTTATTATTGAGTGATTTAGGTATTGATCAGACGGACTCTATGCGGTTATACTGTGATAATAAGGCTGCTATCAATATCGCTCACAATCCGGTTCAACATGGTAGGACAAAGCATGTTGAGATTGATCACTTCATTAAGGAGAAACTCACTAGTGACGCAATATGTACTCTATTTGTGCAGTCTGGTGAACAACTCGCTGAGATCCTCACCAAGGGAGCTAGGAGTAAGCCATTGCATGACATCCTAGGCAAGCTGGGCATGAGAGATATCTTTGCACCAGCTTGAGGGGGAGTGTTAGAATAACATATTATTAGTTGGGTTATTTTTTAGATTGTAATTATTCTATGCCTTAGGGCTCTCTTGTAATTATTAATCTTCATTAATATAAAAGGGGGATGATATCACAGTCATTCCTTAATCTTGGTATTCTCTAAATTATCAATTTCCTATTTGGGCCTTCCTTTGGGGGTGACTTTCAAGGCGAGGGGTGGTGTGGGATGGGGTGGTGGACCGAGAGCAAAGGCGATTGACGGGGTGGAAGCGGCAGTACCTATCCAAAAGTGGGCGGATTACTTTGCTTAAGAGTGTTTTGTCTAGCATTCCGACCTATTTCATGTCGGTGAATGTGACTCTTGTAGCGGTTGCTTAGCAGTTGGAGAAACTTCAACGGGATTTTTTGTGGAATGGTGGGGGGGAGGGTTTCCATTACCATTTGGTGGCATGGGATAGGGTTTGTACTTCCAAGGAATTTGGGGGTTTAGGTGTGAGGAAGTTTGTTTTGTTTAATTGGGCTTTGCTGGGAAAATGGCTGTGGCGTTTTGGGTTAGAGAGGGATAGGCTATGGTTGCAGGTGGTGGTAGCTAAATATGGGTTGGGTGATGGACTTCAGGTAGGGTATGTCATTCCTATGGTCATGGCCTATGGAAGGGGAAAATAGGTGTGGGGGATAGGGTTCGTTTTTGGCAAGATAGATGGTGTGGGGGTTTGCCTTTGGCAAGATTGTTTCCTTTGATTTATGCTATTGTTTCTGACTTTGAGGTGATGGTGGCTTCTGTTTGAGCTTGGCAGGGGCAGGGGTTTGTTTAGAGTGTTCATTTGTGCGTGCGGTTCAGGATTGTGAGTTGGAGCAACTGGTGGAGTTAGGATTTTTATATCATTTGCATTTGGAGGGGGATGGGCCGGATACTTTGGTATGGGACTATCCAAAATCTAAAGGGGTTTTTTCAGTGTCTTCATTTTATCAAGCTTTGACAGGTGGTGGTGCCGTGGTCTTTCCTATGGAGGTGTATTTGGGTGTCTGGGTCACCATCTAAGGTGGCGTTTTTGTTTGGACGGCAGATTTGGGCTGTATCTTAACTATTGATAACCTAATTCGTCGTGGACATGTTCTGCTAAATTGGTGTTGTTTGTGTTGCAGTGATGCGGAGATGGTGGATCATTTGCTTATTGTCCGGTTATGTTGCGACTTTGGATGTTGATAGTGGCGATTTTTGGTTTGGCTTGGGTGCAGCTGGGTTCTCTTTCCAATGTTTTGTAGAGTTGGAGGGGGGGTAGGGTTGGCCGGTGGCGGCGAAAGGCATGGTTACCTGCCTCTCATTGTTTGCTTTGGTTGGTGTGGAGCGTAGTAGGCGTGTTTTTCAGGGTGTAGCACATCTAGTTTTGTGGTTAGAGAATCGTCTTCTTGTGGTGCTTCATAGTTGGATTACGGTTTCGGTGGATCCTAATATTTTCTCATTTGTAGTTTTTGTGGAGGATTTGATTAGCTAGTTTTTGTTTTTGGGCCTTTTTTGGGTCTTGGTTCTTTTTGTATTCGTTGCATCGCCTTGATATTTTCTAATAAAGTTTGCTTATTTATCACCAAAAAAAAAAAAATAAATAAATAAAATAATAATAATAATAAATATATAAAATTATATATTTTATGTGTGTCCCTCACGTGTTGTGTTATGCATTTTTTAACTATTGTCTTGTTAGCGTGTCCATGTTGTATCTGTGTCATGTCACGTGTCTGTGTTCGTGCTTCTTAGATTGCTATCTGCGAGGATCAACTTTATTGTTCATATGAGAATGCATATGCATCCATACTGGCACATGCAAGCCAATCCTTCATTGGAGTAAGCCATAAATTCAGATTTAATTTTGCTACTTTTTTTAGTAAAATCAGGGTGACTATACATTTGTTTCACTCTGCTTTCTTGCTCAAGTCAAGTTTATCTCTTGGCATCATTCTTTTGCAGAATCTTGAAGATGATGCACACAATATCTTTACATGCATCTGAGAATAGAATGACTCCATCTGCTATTGCTGCTTGTATGGCACCGTTGCTCCTACGCCCTCTTGTAGCTGGTGAATGTGAGTTGGAGGATGGTTTTAATGTTAACATTGATATTTCTGCACAACTTCTTGCTGCTGCAAATGCTGCTAATAATGCTCAAGCCATAATCACTGCACTTTTGGAGGAGTATGAGACCATTTTTAATGTAAGTTGTTCTTAATGTGGTTTGTTATTTTTGGTTAATCAATGTCTAGTGGTTTAAATGCCTTCTTTGTGACTTCTATTGTTGTTTGGTTGATCATGAATCCCTGTGTGTGTCCATTTTGTCTCGTAACTCCAATTTGATCTGAGAAATGAATGAGAAATACACTTTATTTTTGTGTTTCATTGTTCTAAAATGAGTTATTTATTCATTTATTTTATCATGATTCATTTTAAATCCTCTTATGTGAATTATTGTATGTCATGTTGAACTTCTATTGCATGGTTGATGTGACAAAAATCAACTTTGTTGAAAAAAGGGCAAACTACATTGGTAGGCTCTACATTTTACCCCTTGTGATATTTTGGTCCCTACACTTTCCATTGGCTCAATTTTGACCCTTAATTTTAGATTTTGTGTCATTTGGTTCAATTGATAATGCCGTTGGGATTTTTGAATGAAAGTTATCATTGAGCTGGTTAAGGTTAACTCATTGAGTTAATAAAGTTTACAGTTTTGTTTGTAAAAATGTGACAAATGCCCACTCATATGCAGATTTTTTAATTATAAATTATTAAAAAAATACTAACTGTTGAATCAATTGGATCAAATTGAGACAAATTAAAAAATTCAGGGTCAAAACTGAGCCAATTGAAATTACAAGAACCAAATTAATACAAGGGCCAAAATATGGAGACTATTGATGTAATTTGCCCTTGAAAAAAAGAGAGGAGCTACACTGGAAAATCACGTGATTGATGAACTTATTGATTTTCTTATCACAGAATGGTAAACCCACCGAGTTTGATAAGTAAGCTGGAAGAATGTTCGATATTTAGGTAAAATGAAAAGAATTTCTAGTAATCATTTTGAAACTTTCTATGAAATTCACTCGCTCTGTACATCATACTTTTCATAGAATATTTTCTTGTCTCTTGAAAGTGCAAAATGTTAGTGGTGCCAACTCTTATTCAGTCAAAATCAAACGATCTGACTGTTAAGAGCTCTAATATTCTCCCAAATAGTTCAACGGTCTGATCTGAATAAGCAGGCCTATGTAATTCCCTTATTCTACAAGTTTATTTGCTGACAAGTTTTTCCTTCAAATATTCAGATTGATATTCCTCTCTGATTTACACATGCAAACATGCAGTTCTGGTCAAAACATAAAAGTAAGAGTTCAAAGCTATTATTTCTACTGAGTTGGTAGTTCATAAGTTAGTTGTCAATGCTAGATTTGGCCTGTTTCGCTGCTCTGTTTATGTGACTGACAAGCATTGTTCATAAAGGAGAAATACAATAATTATAAGTACATAATAGTGCAATTTACTTACGGAAAGTATGATGATAAAAAATTTGGCATAGGAAAGAAGAAAGGAAAATATATGGATGTAGTTGCATGCATGTGTACTATGAAGATTAGGAAAAAAAAATCTGTGGTAAGCAACATGTTAACATTTACCTTGCTATATTTATCTCTGAGTGGAAACTAGCCATGATTGAGGAAATGAAAGCACTTAGGAAGAATGGCACTTTTTCGGTTAACTGAGGAACAAAAATATTTTTGAAACGTTCTGTAAACATAAAGGAAACAATAAAAAAAAAATTGGAAATATTAACTGAAGCCTATATATATGTTTATACAAGCTCAATAATTCATGTTTGAGTTCAGCACAATTGAACAATTTTGAAGTAAATTCAACACCAACCAGGAATAGTTAAATTATGTCAACATATTAACCTTATCAAGCACTTCTAAATGTGCAAATGTGCATAAGGTTCCTTGCAAATAAAATTTACAAAATAATAATGATTATTATATTAATAATAAACAAAGGTCAAAGGGTTGGAGAATATGCGAATCCGATTCCTGGATGCGTACCAATATCTGACACCCATACCCAAGTCCGTGTAACATAGCTCAATATGTGTGGTTGGTCTGGTGTGCTTAATATGGGCTTGCTGATGAATCTGGACAAAGATATAAACTGTGTAACTGGTGATAGCTGATTTTTGCAATTTCTTATGGATAATGCTTTAATATTCAGATTCAGTGGATACCATATTACTAACGGCACAGGAGAGATAATAATGTACTATATCATTGTTTCTTTTTTTGTTTTTAAAAAAACCGCTACTCCTCTGCCTGTTCTCCTCTTAATTTATGCAATTCATTTGAGTCATCATAAAACAGAGATTTTTTTATGTCTGTGGCTTGTTTTCCGTCTCATTTTCTAGCTTCTATGTTCTATGTGGTTCGTTTATGAATTTTTGTTTTGTTTTGTTTTGTTTTCTTTCTTTCTTTTTCTTGCCACCCATTGAGATTTACAATTACAAATGGAAAACCTGCAATCTGTTATTTCCTTAGCAATAAAGGTTATTTCTTTTTACGTTATCATGAGAGTATTCTCCACTTCTGGATTAAGAAAATCCTGCAATTGCTTATTGTTATCTACAATTTAATTTAAAGGTGTTATGCCACCTTTATGTTTCTGTAATAAGCCTTTGTTCACTTGTTTTTATTTGCTTGTGGAATTAGCTTATGTAATCTTGGTATATTGAGTATTCTATTAAGCTTAAATTTTTTGCAGTTGCTTTGTTTTACGTTTTTATTTGTGTTTAGCTAATTTGTTTTTTCTTCCTGTTGCAGGATGATAATCTACATAGCTGCTCTATTTCAGCTGATTCTCATAGCAGTGGGAGTGAAGATTCAACCAATGATGAAAATATGGATATCTACCATGATGCAGAAAATGAAGGGGATCCAGATACTGATGATGATCTTGATCGTGTGCTGAGTGGGAAATTGACTGAAAGCAGTGGTTATATCGGCAATGATCTTTATGACTATAAGGTTCTCTTTCTCTCTCTCTGGGATAAGTAATAGCAACATTTGTTATCTAGCTGTGGAAACTAAAATTTTATCGGTTTCCACTCAGTGAGGAACCTTAACAATGCAGACAAGTCATATGTTTAAGCAACATTTGTTATCTAGCAGCAGAAGTAAAATTTTATGGTGTTTCACTCGGTGAGGAAGCTCAACAGCACCCCAAAAAAGATATTGAGGGTTTGTTACTTGACCAAAAAAAAAAAAGAACTTTTGAGGCACCAAGAGGTTGATGTGAGGAGTGCTTTCATGGTGTTCTTATTGACCTGAAGTCCTCATCTTAAAATCTTTTTGATGCACCAAATGAATTTTGTTATGTTTCCAAGTTTTGTCATTTATTTCCTAATATGTTTGTGACCTTTCTTTTTCCTTTGTTGCTAACTGTTTACATTTCTTCACGAACTGGACGAGACTTCCATGGCAAAACTTGGTAGCATGGGTGAGAGCTCCTTTCAAATTTGAGCATTTGGTAGTGTGTCCTCAGATACTTTAACATTTTCACAATCTACACAGGTTTTCCATGAAAGAAAATGTTCTCTCTCTCTCTCTCTCTCTCTCTCTCTTGTTTTTTTCTTTTTCTTCTTTATGCAATGATGTAAATAATATCATGATTCAATGTGTACTCTTGGACAAATACACTTGGTAAAAGATGGTAACTTCACATATTTGTACATGTTAATAACTAAAGAATGGATGGTTTAGGCATCTTTGATCAAAGCAATGTAATAATTTGTTTCTAATGTTTGTTTGTTTCTTTAATTTTTTATATTGTTGTCTATTATTTACATATTTAACTAGGTCCCACATTGTTATTTTCTCATTATTGTGTGCATTTCTATTTATTCAGGCTTTTGGTGGTAATGATTTAGATGGCGGCCCACCCGGGAATAATCTCACATTAACTGCACAAACAAATCCACCTGTAGATTCTCAGTTATTAAGAGAATCAAACACTCAATTTAATGAGCAGCAAGGCCAACAGAAACCAAGTGAAAATGAGATGGACAGTATTAGTATTGTACCTTTTAATGAGTCTCATCGGTCAATGGGGGAGATAATGTCTTCAATGGATCAAGGGCTGCCTCAATCTGTGGTTGGGGCTGAATCATGTGTTGAGAAGTCAATGAACAAACTTACAAGCTCCACTCTCAATGTTAAGCGATCAACATTTTTGGGAAGAAATACTGTGAGTCATTTTTGCATCTTATATCTTATATCGGCTGTGGTTTCACAACTTTTTTTTTTTATGTTACTGTCCTACCTTATTTATAACATCTTGAGCTCTTCAACAATTTAGTCGATTTCTCCTCGCGGTTAATAGTGCATTTCCTTTTATGGCTTTATGTTTGATCTTTTTTGGTTCTAACCCTTATTCTTGATGCCATATTTTTGGTCCACTGCCACCTGGGGAAGCTTTCAACTGTTGCTCACATATTTTGATGTACCACTCTTTATAATGATGATTTGAACTTTTTTTTGATCACGGTTTACATGATTCCTCACTTGGTTAATGGTGAAGCCTTTTGCGTCCCCCAAGTAAGGTGTGCTTTGTGTGGCAGATTGTTAGTACAGTTCCCAAACATGTGTTTTAGAGATATGTACAAGAGGAACTACTGGGAACTAATGGGTGACAAAGAAATAATGAAGTGCTTGGTTGACAATGGAAGTGTAATTTAAGGCACAATCTGATCAACATGCTTTGTTATCATGATACTACATAAATATAAGAATGAAATATTGGTCATGGAATAACTGTGGAGAGAGAAGAACACGAGGTTTTTGTGCCATTCTAGTATTGACTCTTATGTTTCCCTTTTACGCCATTCTCTTATTGCTCTAACTATTTTTTACTAAGTGAATTAATTTCAAAAATCAAGAAGGGGTTGTTGCTCATATAATAATTTCTAAAAAACTAACCAAAGAGGCCTATACACTCTAAAGAAAATGAAAAAAGGCTTATGGATTCTTGCAAGTCCAAAGAATCTACAAAATCTACAAGATTATCAAAGATAGGCCTAACTTTCCTAGAAGTCTAGATATACAAAATGACCAAATAAAAACTCTTGAGCTTATACAAAGGCTCCTCTACTCTAAAAAGTTCTCTTGTTGCACTCCCTCAATAAAAGGCACATCAAACCCAACGGTGCTAAGAGCCAAGCCAAAAGAATGAAAGAATTGAATGGAGACTAACCTGTGTATGTATACTAATAGAGATTTACAAGATAGGAAATAACATAAAAAGGAAACAAAATCAAGGTCTAAACAATGGCCATAAAATAAGTCCTAACTGATTCTAACTAATTTTAATTCCAACACTCCCCCCTCAGGTTGGTGTGAAAACATTCAGCAAACCCAGCTTGACAATAGATGATTGAATAATGTTAGATCAGCAGACTTTGTGAACATATTAGCTAGTTGCTCAGAAGAAGAGACAAATGATGGACTCACAATACTAGTCCGAACCTTTTCTTGAATGAAATGTATGTCAACCTCAATGTGTTTCGTCCGCTCATGAAGTACTAAATCAGTCGATAACATAATAGCTGATTTGTTGTCACGAAACAAAGGAGAGGAAGCATCCTCAACAAATCCTAACTTTGCAAGAATGGAGTGAAGCCACAAAACTTCAAATGTATCCTGTGCCATTGCTCGATACTTAGCTTTAGCATAAGACTTAGAAACAACAGCCTGTTTCTTACTTTTCCATGATATAAAGTGATCACCATAAAAAGTACAAAAACTAGACGTTGACCGTGTATCGGTTCTAGATCCTGCATAGTCTGCATCAGTGAAACAAGAGAGCCCTGATTGAGGATTAGCTGTGAAAAATAATCCTAAATTAGGAGAAGTCTTCAGATACCACAAAATATGATAAACTACATCAAGATGCTCTGTACGAGGTGCATGCATAAATTGACTTACAACACTAACCGCAAATGTCAAGTTGGGTCTAGTATTAGTCAAGTATATGAGATGACCAACTAGGCGTTGATACATGCCTTGATCCTTTAATAATTTGCCAAACTCATGTAAGCTTGAGGTTACAATTCATATGAGTAGAAGCTGGCTTACACCCTAGGTCTCGAAGAAGATCAACATATTTCCTTTGGGACAACGAAATCCCTCGACGCGAGCGAGTAATTTCAATACCCAGAAAGTATTTAAGAGGACGTAGATCCTTACTATCAAATGTTTGACTCAAATCCCTCTTTACTTGAGTTATGCTAACTGAATCATCACTTGTAAGAATGATATCATCAACATAAACAAGCATTAACAAGCAAAATAATACACTAACCAGTGGGAGTTATGCGAATAAAACAAGTATGATCTGAGTGGCACTGAACAAATCCCATGGATAAAATAACAGAACTAAAGCGGTTGAACCAGGCCTTGTTTAAGCCTATATAAGGACTTGCATAGTCGACGCACTTTCCCTGCATACTCCCTCTCAGTCCAAAAACCGGGTGGAGGATCCATATAAATAGTCTCAAGTCCCCATGCAGAAAGGCATTCTTGACATCCAGTTGATGCAGAGGTTAAGAATGTGAGACAGCAAGAGAGATAAGGAGACGAATAGAGGTAAGCTTGGCGACCGGGGCAAAGGTAGCCCCAAAATCCTTGCCAGGAACCTGAGTGAAGCCCATGGCAACTAACCGTGCTTTGTAGTGGTCCACAGTACAATCAGCAAGATACTTAATAGTAAACACCCATTTACTTACAACTAATAGTCTTTTCACCAAATGGAAAAGTGACAAGATGCCAGGTTTGATTTTGTTCCAAAACTGCCATCTCTGTTTGCATAGCAGACACCCACTTGAAGAGCCTCTAACACAAAACGAGGAATAGTGTCCAACTCAAGCTTGCCAAGGAAGGAACGATAGGCAAGGGAGACATTGTCATAAGAAAGATACTAGGAAATAGGATGATTAGTACTGCAAATATAACCAAGACGATCAGGGGGATGTCTATTACAAGAAGGGTTATGACGAAGAGTAGTAACCAGAGGAGAGGAATTACCTGACCCATGTATCAAAGAGGTTGTTGGCAGGGGATGAGGACGATGAGAATATACCTGCAATGGAGGAGAAGAAGGAGGAGCAGCATCAGCTTCAACCTCATGAGAGACAGCCTCAACCTCATGAAAAATGGGAAGAGGCCGAACATCAGATTCCACAAATGGGATAGGAGTAAAAGAGGAATCCTGCACAGAAGGGTGAGTAACAAAAAAGGGTGTTTTCTCATAGAATGTCGCATCACAAGAATGATAGTACCTACCAGTGCCAGGATCATAACACCGATACCCTTTGGACATAGTAGAGTACCCTACCAAGATACATTTAATAGCCTTATCATCTAACTTAGTGCGAGTAAGACTCTAGTTTTAAACAAAACAAGTACACCCAAAAACCCAAGGTAGGAGAGGAAAGAGAGTCCTAGTAGGGTCAAAGGCCTGGAGAGGGGCAAGACCATGCAAGACACGACTAGGAGTGCGATTAATAAGATAAACCGCAATAAGAACATTATGCCAGTAAGACTTAGGTACATTCATTCTCCTGAGAAGACAACAAACCACAGACATAATGTGACGGTTTTTTCGTTCAGCAATCTTATTTTGTTCAGGAGTATTAGGACAAGTAAATTGTTGAAGTATACTAGCCTGATTAAGATGGGAACGAAAAGCATCAAAGATGTATTCCCCACCATTATCAGATCGGATATTTTGAACAACAGTGTGAAATTAGGTTTTAACCATTTGAAGAAAGTGAACTAATATGGGAAAGACATTAGATTTACGCTTAATAAGATAAACCCAAGTACAACGAGTGTGGTCATCTATAAAGGTCACATAATATCTACGGCCCGACAAAGCAGTAATAGGTGAAGGGCCCCAAACATTAGGATGAATAAGATCAAACACAAAAGGAGCACGATGCATACGGGGAATATAAGTAGTACGGGTATGTTTAGCTAACTTATACAAATGACATTGAAACTTATGAGACTTACAAGCTTTATCAAAATTTGGAAATAGTAAACATAAATACTAAAAATTCGCATGACTAAGATGAGCATGCCACAATGCTAAAGTCTTAAAAGAAAAAACATAGGAGTATAAATCCTTAGGTAACACAGAAGTGGAAAAGCTAGAAAGAAGTGGCTGATTTGGTTCCAAAGTAGTATAAACCGTCATGCTCATATCATATCCCCTACCGAAAATCCTCTTCGAACTCAGGTCCTATAACAAGCAAGAATCGGATAAAAAAATGACAGCACAATGAAAAGCCTTGGCAAGTTGACTCACAGACAAAAGATTATATGCAAAATTAAGGACATGTTGGACAAAAGAAAGAGTAATATTAGGAGATAGAGTAACACCACCCCAATGACGAACAAAGGTAGTAGAACCATCAACAAGACAAATAGTTTGGGTGGTAGTAAGAACTTGAGAAGAGAGGTAGGAAAGCTCGCTGGTCATGTGGTCATTAAACTCAGAATCCAGAACCCAAATAGGACATGCAAAGCGAACATGGAACGCAGTAGGAGTACCTGTAGCCAAAGTGGCAGTCGAGGATGATGTCCCTGAAGATATCATAGAACCAAGCTGAGCTTGAAGTTGACTAATCTGAGTCTAAAGGAGATGCAAATATGGAGTAGTGGAACTCAGGACAGTCTCCACAACAGCAGTAGTGCGGGAGGAGCTTGATGGACGAGCACATGAGAAACGCTGTCTCAACTCATGATGGAGTTTGAAACAGCGAGCCTTGACATGGCTTGGTTCTCCACAATGATGACAAATTACCTTCCCACTAGAAGAACGAGACACAGTCTGCGTAGCAAGAGCCATCTGATCAGAGGAGACAAGAGGCTCAGGGACTAGAGCAGAAACAAGAGAAACCAACCGATGGCGGCGCTCATCACTATCAATAATAGCAAAGGCCTCATAAAGGGAAGGTAGAGGAGATGTATTTAAAATCTGAATACGAAGAGACTCGAACTCAGGGTTTAAACCCATCAAGAACTGATATGTATGCTGCCGAGCAAGTCTCTTGGTCACAAGTGAAGCAGCCTTAGTTGGAAGATCAATCAAAGGCTCATATTGAGCTAACTTTTCCCAACGTGCTTGAAGATACCCAAAAAATTTAGCCATAGAAATACCCAAAGCATACTAAGAAGCACGAGCAATATCCTAATAAAGCTTAAAGATGCGAACATCATTATGTGCATGAGCATACATCTGAGATAAGGCTCTCCATAAACTAGGAACTGTATCAGAGTATAAGAACATATGATAAATCCGGTCCTCCATGGAATTGAACATCCATCCCAAGATAGTGCAATTGTCAATATGCCATTGACCATGTGTAAAATCTCTAGCGTTTAGCTAAATAGTGGTAGATGAAAGCCAATGAGCTTTCCCCTTTACCCCCAAATAGAGTTTAAAGGAATGACTCCAAGCAACGAAATTTTTTCCATTCAGCACCACACTTTTAATACGATGAACCGAAGTATAGTGTGAGAGAGAAAAATCTGGATTCACTGGAACGAGTTTAACAGGAACCACAAGAGAAACATTAGACTTAGTCATGGTGGCTAAAGGAATAGGTGATGTGTATAGTTTACATTCAGAACAATACACAAATCACAAAACAATTGCTATCAAACAACCTGATAGCCTATTAACAAAAATAACAAAGAAAAAGATGCTTATTGCATCCACACCAAGTCCCAAAACAGGGACAAAACCTACCGAACTGCCCTAGAAGCCGATTGGTGAGGAGAGGGATGGGTAAGGGCCGGAAGAGAGAGAGAGAGGCTATGGGAGCCTAGTGGCCGAAGGGCTTGGGCAAGGGTGGAAGTCAAATGGTTGAGATTGAAGTAGAGAGAAAAGGGTTAGGGTTAGGGTTTGGCTTGGATACCTAGAAGAATGAAAGAATTGAATGGCTTAGTCTAGAAAGAAGACTAGCCTGTGTATATATACTAATAGAGATTTACAAGATAGGAAATAATGTAAAAAAGAAACAAAATCAAGGCCTAAACAATGGCCATAAAATAAGTCCTAATTGATTCTAATTAATTCTAATTCCAACAAAGCCTTTCTCCTGCACTTCCGACTCCATCTCTCCACCAACAAAAATGACTCTCACCTTATCTTCATGGAAGACCCAACCCAAACAATGCCAAGACCAACCCCCACACATTCTTAGCCATGTTACAATGAATAAGTGTAAAACTGATTCATCCTTACATACAAAGGCAACACCAATTTATGTAGATCTGACATAATATTATCATAAACTACTACTAGCCTAGTGATTTACATTTCGAACACTATTTATTGCCTCGACATTTTCCTTGCAAGCAAAGGTGTCAAATATAATGAAATAAAATCCATGGACCAGAGTTTTGCCAGAACAATATAATAATAGAGACCCTAATTCTCCAATTATTGTGCTTTTACATAATTATTTTGAAAAGAAATAGACTATGTTCAATTGGGTGTTTAATTGTTAATGAAAAATTCTCACATGCGAAAATGCCTTAATAGTTATAATAATTATGATCTAAACTATAGAAGCCTACCCCCTATTTAGAGCTTAAGGCATACAATGTTCTTGCCCCATTCCTTATACTGGAATGACCCATGGTCTGGGTAACTTTGATTCTGACGCCTCCTAATTACGATGCCAATCATAAGAATCTTTGCATGGATTGGATTCCACACAAAGAAAGTGACCATAGATGGAGCTCCAACAGTCCAAAAGCCTTTTCGAGATAAATTCATCCTTTTATTCCTCAACTCAACATATCCCCATAAAAAAAGATTTCACATTCAACCTTCTACTCTTAGATACATCTCATCTTAAAGAGTCAAGCCCTTCTCATAGTCCTTGTACCGTAAAACAAATTGAGTAGATTGATAAGCTAATCTAACACATAATCTTGCAGATCCTTCTTAGCTTGACATCTCAAAAAACATTACCATTCATCCCCTAAACATGATTTACGACTTAAGCTTATAAATAGGAAGATAAAGATGAAAGTTCTTTCCAAAACATCATCTACACATCACTTGTGCTGCCAAAATTTCACCTATCTCCTCACCCCACCTTGAAATTAGGAAATTTAAAAAATTCCTACCAAACTGGACAAACACCTTTCCACTTGCTTCTACCATGAGACATCAACACCTGTAATGAGTTCCAATTTTCCCATTAAGTACCATATTTTGCCGTTACCACCATTCTCCAAAACTTGTCCCTTTCACAAGCATATCTCTGTAGCCACTTGCCCAACAAATCTTTATTAAAATACCCAAACTCTTGATGTTGAAACCCCCTCTCTTCAGAGTGCATACTGATGTATTAGAATAAATAGGTTAAGTGTATGTTAAATTTCGTATTAGTTGTAGTCTATAAATAGGTGATGTAATATTCCATTGTAGTTAGTTTTTGATTGAAAGAATCTACATTGTGATTGGAGTAGAGCTTGGTTTCTCTCTCTAGCCTTAGGGGTTTTACCCCTAATTGGGGCATTTGTCTTCTCTCTCTCAATTTGATCTTTGATTTGCATTTGGATTGCATTACATACCATCTTCCAATTAACATGATGATATTTGCACTTTTTCCCTATGCCACTCCGTAGAAATTCCCACTGTAACATGTCAAGTCTCTTAGTCAGCAAAAAGGAATAGTTTGCAAAGACATAAAATAGGTTGAAAATCTTGACAAAAAGTACTCTTAATATAGAGTGATCTTGCCCCCTTTGGTCTGCTCTCAACCTGCCAACTTCTTCCAAAACAGCTCCACCACCCATACAACATCACCTTAGACATGAAAGATGGTTACAAGTGATGTAGTAGAATAAAAATCGTAAGTGTCATAATGAGTCTTATGCTTATGTGTCATTAGTTTTGTATGTTAAGTAATTGGGTTAAGTGTCCTACTAGTTGTGGTCTATCAATAGGTGATGAAATCTCCATTTATATCCCTGATCTCCAGAAAGCTGGGTTTGGGAGTTGAAGGACTTTGGCCTATTAGTTTGGTGGGGTCATTTACAAGTTGTTGGCAAAGACTTAAGTAGGAGACTTGAAAGATGTCTTTGAATCTCTGATTCTCGTAATGCTTTTGTGGATGGGAGACAAATCGTAGATGTGTTCAGCTCTATTTAGTGTCTAGATTCGAAGTCAAGAAGTGGACGACTAGGGCTCATTTGCAAGCTTGATATGAAGAGAGTTTACGATCATATGAATTGGGATTTTCCTTGGTACATTATGGAGAGGGTAGGTTTTGGGCAGAAATGGTGCACTTGGATCAATCATTGCATCTCTATGGTTCGCCCGCTGGTTTCTTTTTGAGCTCTAAAGGCCTTGAGGGGGTCCTATCTCCCTATTGCTTTTTATCATGGTGATGGAGGCTTTGAGAATGGTGATATTGAGGGCAGTTGAAGGGAATTAAGTCAGGGTCTTTGAGGTTGGTATGGCAAAGTTTCTCTCTTTGCATCTGCATTTTTCTGATGACACTGTGTTCTTATTTGTTTTGATGTTGTTTCTGGATTAAGGGCTAGTGTCAGCAAGAGCAAGTGTGATCCTGTGGAAGAGGTACCAAACATTCATGAACTTGCTATAAATTTGAATTTTTTTGTTGCTTTTCTTCCCATTTCTTATTTACAGCTCCTCTTGGGTCTTTCTACAAGGCTACAAAAGTTTGGGATAATATGATTGAGCGCTGTAAGAGAAGGTTTCAGGTTGGGGTGGAAAAAGGAAATATCTTTCTTAGGGGGAGCTCACCCTTATAAAAAGTACTTTTCTAGCCTCCTACTTATTTCTTGTCAGTCTTCAATATTCCAGCAACTGTGGCTAAAAGGTTGGAAAAACTTAAAATAAACTTTTTATAAGGTGGTTTGGGTGGTGAATTTCAGTATCATCTTGTGAAGTGCAATTTGTAAACCGCTGAAGGTAGGTGGTTTGGGCATTCATCAGTTTTTTACCTATAATCAATCTCTTTTTGAGAAATAGCTGAGATGCACCACAGAAGCTAGGAGTTTTAGAGGATGGTGGTGGAATTCAAGTACGGGTCCATTGTAGGAGACTGGTGTACTAGAAGGTTTCACAACTTGTATGGCATAGGCTTAATGGAAATCTTTCAGGAATGTATGGTACTACTTAGTTGGACCTGTATTTTGCTATCAGGGGATAGTCGTAGGGTAAAATTTTGGATTGATGTGTGGAGTGGTCAAACGCCTCCATACTGGTATGTTCCAAAACTTCACCATATTTTTACATGAACACTTCTACGAAAGTAACATGTCGTGTCTGACACGACACTAGTACGTGACACTCACCAGATACTTCGCAACAGTTGGACGCACAAGAAATACGTTACAAATTTGAATAAAATAACTGGGAACCTAATGCCAAAATAAAAACAACATAAATGTATATCTATTCTTTTCATTTAGACTATTTATTATATTTGAGTTAAATATTCAAATCCATGACATATATATAATTGTAGTTATCGAAAAAATCTCAAAATTACTATGTTCATTAACCAAGATGATAAATTCTAATGCTGGCAATTCAAAATATCAGAATCCATGACACAACTGGATTACATTATGATTTTGACCTTAGATTTAGTTTATTTGGTGATGGTAATTGAATTGGAAAGAAGATGTACATAGATGCAGTCATAGTGAATACTATAATGTAATAAAATACTATGTCAAAGAAAGAAGGAAATGTAGGAGTGCATGTCCAATATGGGTCACTTCACTCGTCTAGTAGAATTAATTATCGGATACCTTTATTCTGTTTTTCTGGTTTTGCACCTTGAAATAGAAAGTGTTAGAAAACTGACATCGTTTTATTTCCTAATTTACAGGCTAGAAAGACACCCTCAATGGAATCAATTGATTCTTCTGGAGAGGAAGAGTAAGATGTTCATAAGTTACTGTTTTCTGTTGCTCTGCGGACCAGATATACTTCTTGGTGGCTCATTTATAAAACACTTGCTAGTTATCTGAGATGTAATTTTTAGTATGCTGGTGTATCTACTGTGAAATTGATGCTCATATGTCCTGCTTTTTTGAAATTCCCCTGTTTCTGTGGAACAATTTGTTGTTGCCTTTTCAATTCAGGTAGAGACGGTTGAGAAATTCCCTTTTGGGACAAATAACACTTTTGCAGATCTCAATTTAATGAACTATTTTGATGTGTATATGGATTTTAATATTGATATGATGCATCAGTTCCTTTTTTTCAGGTTACTGCCTGTTTGATGGTTAAGACAAATTAAAAGTTGAACCAACCAATGGTTTCTAGTCTGGATGCTGTCATTTTTGTCAGTAGTTAGCATATTGTTGTGTCATAAAAGTCAATGAAAATATATTTCAACATCATTTTACTTAATCTCCCTTCTGCTGATCTCCTTTTTTGTGTGGGATTAGCATACTGTTGTGAGTTTTTTGTACCGTTAGGAGTCGGGAGTGAGTAACCCTTCTCTAGTGGCATTCCCATAGTGTTCTCTTTTCAATAAATTTTTTTGATACATGAGGCATATAGAGGCTTTTTTGTTTTTTTGCTTTTCTCTTCTATATGAGTGGCATTCCCATAGTGTTGCCTTTTCAATAAAATTTTATTATTTTTCCAAAAAAAAAAAAATTGTTCTTGGCTGTTGAACTGGGTGCAGAAGCAGATGCCAGTTAAGGTTATGCAAGACTAAGGAAAGTAGTATAGGACACAGTTGATACCATCTGAAGAGAGTAGAATAATCACTCATCTATGTATAATCTTAGTTTTTCCAATGGCCTTCCAAGCACCAAAACTTATTTTTGCCAAATCTTAGATTCTTGGGTAAATTAGTGACACCACCTCCTCCAATATAAGTTCATATTAATTCGAGTCCTTTGGAAAGAAGAGTCTTCAAAGGTGAGGTGCCGCAGTTTTTAACATTTTGAGGACAAGGTCCATTTTTCACACGTTTATGTTTTTTTACGTCACCCATTTCGACCAACTTATCTATAACAGTGTGCTCTCTCTTTCTCTAACCATGGCTGCCACATTAGAAGTTTAGCACCACACCTCCCTCTGCTATGCTATGCTTCAAACTTCAAGATGGCATGTGATATCAGATCCCTTAACCAGCAACCCTGCTAGTGCCTGTTACTTCACTGACTTGAGCTACAAATCTTGTCACTTCTCATTTTTCATACCCTTTTTTCAGACAAGTGCATCTTCTTTGGTGAACTAGGCAAGTTTCCTCTCAAAATCATGATGTTCACCTTATGGGTTCCAATGGATCCTCAAGGGCAGGAGCTAGCGGAGCAGTTGATTCAGATTCTGCTGCTGATTTTTGCGGTGGTGGCTTTTGCAACGAACTATGCCTTGGGATCATTCTAGACAATGTTGCTAATACATGCCTCTAGGGCAGCTATCACTACTTTGATCACTATTCCCTATTGGCCTTTGTAAAATCAGCACTCTCTCAAGTGGATGGATCCAAGTGTGGCTAAAAAGCACCAAAGCCGTAGATAGCTAATTCTAGTTCAAAGAAGTTGAAAACTAAGAAGTAGGTCATTTCACTGATTGATCAACCTATTGTTGTCTTTGATAAAGTTGGGTGTATTTGATATATAAAGTAGGTCAATTTTGTTTTTTTTTAGCCTCTCAAAATAGAGAAAAACAAAGAAATTTCTTGTTTGGAGGAAATTTTAATCATTCAATCGACATTTTATTAGGAGTGTTGCTATTAGCACCCCGTCAATTATTTTGGACCCCTCATTTCTGTGAACCCCCACTTATAAATTCTAAAACCCTTAAAATTTCTTCTCTCCCTAAATAATATCAAAATTATCTTTGTGAAAACATTCGATCCATTCAATTGAATGCACACCCCCCACACCCCAAAAAGCCTCTCTCCCAAAAACCCTAAGAAAATCAACGAAGGTGATTACTATTTCATCTCTACATACTTGTTCATGACCTAAGAAAATAAATGTAGGGTTTTTTGTTGTTGATTCAACATTCCCCTTCTGTGGGTTTTGCGATCTCCACGAGTTTGGATTTGTTATCTCTCAGGTGAGTTTCTTTGAATTTTCTGACAGTTTCAATTCTTGTTCCTTATCTTACCTGGGTTTTGTGATTTAAAGTTTGAAAAAGGTTCATTAATAATGTTCAGTTATTTGTTCCCGAACAAATAAGAAATGTTCAGTTATCTGTTCTTGAACTAATGAACAATGTTCGGACCTGTATTCCCAAATTTTGGTCATATGTTCGGGAGTTCAGTTCTGAAAAAATGATGAACAGTTTTTGTTATTTTTGCCCTTTTTTTTCAAAAAACTTACCCTTACAAGGCCAATCTCGTCTGAGCTAAGAACACCATCAAAGTTATGAAGCTTTTATTGTTGTACTCTTCTCGTCACATGGAGTTGTGGTTGCCGGAAAAACTTCCACTCATTGTCATTGCCGGAGAAGTGTAGGTAATCAAATGGTTGCCACCGTTACCGCCAGAATATTACCGCCAAAGGAGTGTTCAAGGTTTTGAGGGTGGGTTGGTTTTGAAGGTGAGATTTGGGGAAGATCGATGGGTGGTGATGGAGGTGGGTGCTCTCATAAATCCTAACTCATGATGTAGTGGGTGTGTAGGTTTAATTGTAAGATAGGGTGTTCCAAAATTATTGATATCCTTTTTAGTAATTTCATTTGAGGTTATTATTGTAATAAAAAAAAAAGGCTAAAAAATAGGGGGTCCAAAATAATTGATGGGGTCCTAATAGCATCACTCTTTACTAACTTAGAAATTTTAGCCCTAAATAAGAAATTAGGTGCCTGATTTTTGCTATGACCCTTATTATTTTTAATATTTAGTCATTAAAAAAATTGCTTTTTGAAAACGATGAAATTTCTGTCTTTATAAAATTAAAAAAAAGGGCGATCTATATCGAAAGTTATTGAATTTTAAAGATTCAAAAAGTGAAAGGTGCTACTTGTGAATCAACTATGTCGGAAATTAGTTTCCCAAATATTAGAGGACTGGAATTAGGAAACCTTTTTTTGGTGTCATTATACTAGTTTAAATGAGGGAGCTCTGATCAAGACTCCCTATAATCTTTCCATGATATATGATCCACCACTTTCATAGTTCAATGTGTGAAGAAAGAATTTGCTGACTAAATTATTTTAATGTTAAACACAAGTTAATTGTCATGGCTTTGCTCTAGTATGATACCTTTTGTGTGTGTGTATATATAGATATAGAAACCTATCTGTTGACAAATAGATTTGATGACTTGTTTGCAGACTGGCTATCCAAAGGCTTGAAATTACAAAGAATGACTTGCAACACAGGATTGCAAAGGGGGTAATACTTTACTGTCATTGTAACAGCATTTTGCACTGATCTATAGAACAGTAGCATTCTCACTAACGAAATTTGGCTGCCATCTGTGTTAGGCTAGAGGAAATGCTATTTTACAGGCTAGCTTGGAGAGAAGGAAAGAAGCTTTGCATGAGCGTCGCTTGGCACTTGAACAAGATGTATACTCTTTTTTACCCATTAGATATGGAAAATATTTGTGGTTGTTTTGCCATTACTTGGTTTCTTTTGATACTATTTTCTATCTCACTTTTTTCACTCAATATGTTCAGCATTGGGCATGAACTTCAGGTTTGTCCCTTCAGTTAAATATGTTCAGTTGCATGCCATTTTATGCCTTGGTTTTGTTTCACACTTCTTCTAATAGTGAATTTTCTGATGTAATTGAAAATAATCCATAATAGGGAAGATGTTGAGTAACTGTTGAATAGCCAAAAACTCAGAACTGTGTTTTCTATGAATGCCTTAGAACACCCCCTCCCCAAAAAATCTAAGATGGAATGGGCTGCTTATTTATAGACACAAGTTGAATAAATTTTCATCTCTTCACTGCTTGATTCATGCCATTGAAGAGCGCTCTCTCTCTCTCTCTGGCGCGCGCGCGCGCACACACACACACATCAGTATCTCTTTATAGAATCACAAAGTAAAATGGCAATGATTTTCCCTGTCACCACTTTGCAGAATAACAGATTACAAGAAGTTATTGATGCATGGAAAGACCTTTATTTTGTGTGTGTGTGTGTGTGTGTGAGAGAGAGAGAGAGAGACGTGAAATTCGTCAATTAACTGCCTATTATGAGATAAGTAAAAATTTGGGTCTTACGAAACTGCATAGCACATTAGAGCCAATTTTAAAGGGGAAGTGAGACGTTGCTTGATTGATAGATTAGGAGGAAGAAATAGCATCTGAGTTTCATTTGCTGTTTGAAGAGAAGGCCAATGTGCATATTTTTTTGATATGAGAGAGAAAGTTCTAACTGTTAAAGATCCTAATTTTTTGCTGACAAACTGGTGTGGAGAGAGCTGGGCATGACAATTATATGGTTCTGTCAGCTGGCTAGGGGTTTGGACTTTGGAGTGTTGATAGTTTTGTCCAGAATGATTATATTGTTAACAGATGTTAACTAAGGCTTGACTGTTGGTTTTGCTTTTATTAGACAGTTAACGCTACCTTTCAGAATTTATTGGTACAATGGGTTTCGGGTTTTCTGGATTGAAAAATTACATTTATCCCTTAAATATGAGCCACTGCAAGATTTATGTGCTTCATATTCTTGTTTTTATTAGTTTCTATTGATTCATTTTAGTTGAAGCCTTACTAAACCAGTCTCTCCCATTCCAAAACTTGATTGACAGTCAGCTTTTTCAACCACTAGTCACAGAAGAAACAAAATTAGTAACTACTAAATTGGTAGATCCAGTTGCTCTCCAACTGCTGCATCTAGGAAAATTGTTGCCCTTGAAAATTGGCCTTCAATGGTTATCCAACTTTTCAACAAGAATAAAATGTCCCTCTTTGGGACATAAAGCGATAAAAAAAAATATTTGATGTCCTTTTGCCGTAAACCCATTCAGCCTGGTGTGAACAAGTGTTAAGCTCAAATATGCAATGAAAGAGCTCTTGCATTATGCACAAGAGAGATCACACAGCTCCAGGATTAATGTAACATTTTTTATGCTGGAGGGTTAAGCAACTAGTTAGTTCAATCAGGACTGTGAAGCAAAAGGCACCATCACCTACAGCCCTTTCCTCTGCGGGAACTTCCCTGAACCCCATTGATGTATTAGAATAGATAGGTGTATATTAAATGGCCTATTAGTTGTAGTCTATACATAGGTGATGTAATATTCCATTGTACTTAGTTTTGGATTAAAAACACAATTGTGATTGTAGTAGAGCTTGGTTTTTCTCTCTAGCCCACAGAGGTTTGACCTTGATTTGCATTTGGATTGCATTATTTGGTATTAGAGCTTAGCATGATCCTAATTTCTTCCTAATCTGCACTCTCTCATGATCGAATCATGAATTTGTGAAAACCTTAACTGGAAAGTCAGTGCTGTTCGGCGCTAGATTCATTGAAGCAACCTGAAGTGGATCGTTTTGTATCTATTCGAGTATAGCGAGATCAGATTCAACTTTGCAACTCGATTTCGACCTAGATTCGACTCTTGATTCAACTTCGCGATGAGATTTCGATTTGCGATCCTACGTTCTTCGGTTCAAATCTAGTTCGAATCCTCAGATCTGGTTTGAGAAACTTCAAATCTGTTAGAATTCTTTAGATCTGTGTCCAAAAAAGCTTGGTTGAGGTCGATTTGTGTTCAAGTCCGTTGGATCTAATTCGAAACTCTTAGAATTCTTCATATCTATGTTCGAAAAGGCTTGGTTGAGGTCAATTTGACTTCAAATTTCATGGATCTGGATTGAAACTCAGATGTCTTCGGATCTGTGTTCAAGTCCCTCAGATCTGGTTCGAGAAACTTCAAATCTGTTGGATCTGATTCGAAACTCTTAGAATTTTTTCAGATCTGTGTTTAAGTCCCTCAAATCTGTTTCGATTCTTTCAGCTCAGGTTTGGTTCGAAGTAGATATGTGTTTGAACCCTTTCTCTATGTTTGGATTCTTCAGATCTGTGTTAAAAGATTTGATTGATGTCTTCTCCAGCTTGAATCCTCTAAAATCGAGTTTGGTAGTTGTCGAATGCCTCTGATTGTGTTCTATCTGGTTCGAAATCCAGCATATTTGCCGAATGGCTCTGATTGTGTTCGATCTAGTAGAGTGAAACGTTGGATCCACTCTCTTGGAAGGGACAATCACAATCAAAATCAAAATGAATGAGACAAGACGAAGCAAATGAGTAACAAATTGTTTACTGGAGGAGGTACAGTGATATTTTTGAAAGCTTCAAAGAGTTTATTTGAAGCTTTGTTTCCTGCTTTTGTATGCCTCTGTAAGATGTTGGCTTGAGTTGAGTACGCTGCTGGTGGTGATGCTCATTTGATTGTTGTGTCTAAAGGGACAGAAGGATATATTGCGATTGAGAATTCTCGCTCCCGATTAGCTTCTCTCACGTGGTTCTTACTTCGTGGATGCATAATCGGTCCTTTCATCTTTTGTCACATTCTTCAACCTTGCTTTGGAAGTTTTCTGTTTGCTAGTCTATTGATCTCATTCTGACTGAATGAGTACATCTCTGCACCAGTGTGCCAAAGCTGACCTTATTATTATTATTAAAAGGGGAGAAGGGCAACCTATCTTGTTAATAATAAGAAAGGGGGTGAGATAGGCAACATGTAGCTTGCTTCCAAGCCGGCCTGTAGAGATTAAGGGCTCAGGAAAAGGGAGGTTTGTCCAAGTTTTAGCAAGAGGGTATGGTATGGGCATCTCATCTCCATGCTCAACGCAAGCATAGCTCTCGCAACTTGGATACATGGAATTGCATCCTTAGCTAAACAACCGTAGTCAATCCTTTCATCTTTTGTCACATTCCTCAACCTTGCTTTGAAAGCTATCTGTTTGCTAGTCTATTGATCTCATTCCGACCGAATGAGTACATCTCCACACCAATGTGCCAAAGCTTACCTTAATATTATTAAAAGGGGAGAAAGGCAACCTGTCTTACTAATGATAAGAAAGGGGGTGAGATATGCAACATGTAGCTTGCTTCCAAGCCAGCCCACAGAGATGAAGGGCTCAGGAAAATGGAGGTTTGTCCAAGCTTTAGTGAGAGAGTATGGTATGGGTATGATGGAGGTTGTCAGTTTACAGCTATGGTTGTTTAGCAAAGGATGCAATTCCATGTATTCAAGGAAGGATGAGTTGCGAGAGCTATGGTTGTGTTGAGCATGAAGATGAGATGCCCATACCATACCCTCTCGCTAAAGCTTGGACAAACCTCCATTTTCCTACTCCTCGCCTAAGTATTCAATGCATGGTGTTATATTGAGCTTACTTAGTTGCTACTTAAACTTGAGGACATGTTTTTTGAAGAGGGGGATTCTGATGATGTAGTATAGATACGTTAAGTGTCTAGTAAATAGCCTATTAGTTGTAGTCTATAAATAGGTGATGTAATATTCCATTCTACTTAGTTTTGGATTGAAAGAATATACATTGTGATTCAAGTGGGGCTTGGTTTTTCTCTCTGGCCCTTTGGGGTTTTACCCCAAATTGGGGTATTTGTCTTCTCTCTTTGAATTTGTCCTTGATTTGCATTTGGATTGCATTACCCATACCCCTATAATAATGGGAGAGAGACCAATTTACCTTATTATCTAGTGGATTTAGTTAGCTGATAATATTAAATTATGAATGCTCGTCTTAATTTTAATTTTTTTTTTTAAATTATAGCGACACCCGTAAAAGTTCACAACAATATTGGGACATCACTATTTTTTCAGACATTACATTGTTATGCTTGTTAGGTTGTAAATTGACTGGCATTTATGAAGGAATTGTTTGATATTTTGCTCTCATAGTTGAATAATATCAATTACACCAACACCCCCAAGGTTTCTAACCAAAGCTTTAAAAGGTGTTATTGAAGCTCACCTCAAGGCGAGGCAAGTCAAAATATATCGATCGTTTGATTTTTAAGCAACACTCCCCAAAGGCTTGAGCATCACAGTCTTAGGTGCACCTTATATGCGGTTGTGCATAAGCATATGAGGAGTATGCATATCAAGGGCTTGTCTTAGACTTGTTAATCTTAGTCTAATAAATAGTTTAAACATATAAAAGAATAACCACTTTTGTAATGGTATTCCATGAGAAAATTCAAGTGAATGACCTAACAAGAAACACAAAGTTGAGGCGCAAGTGAGGAGCTCAATAATTGAAGTTAAGAATGTCAATTTCACCTTCGATGAAGGCAAACTTTCCTCTCTGCGGTGAAATTTTTGACAATTCGAGGAGAAAAGTATTTGTTGAGGCGCAAGTGAGGAGCTCAATAATTGAAGTTAAGAATGTCAATTTCACCTTCGATGAAGGCAAACTTTCCTCTCTGCGGTGAAATTTTCGACAATTCGAGGAGAAAAATATTTATACTTTTATATTTAAATTGTAATATTTTTATACTATTTTATTTTTTATTTTTTAAAAATTTATTTACTAAATATCAAAATTCAAAATGCTTACCTCTTGACTTTTGGCATTACT